TTTTTTTTCAAAGAAAAAAATCAAAATGAGTTTGGTTTTGAACTTTTAAGTTTCAGGGCTGGCCTGAATTTAGCTCAGTTGGTTAGATCCCATCCTCATAATACCAAAGTCAAAGGTTCAGTTCTCTGTACTGGCCAGCTGAAAAAAAAAAAATCACATGAACTATTGTGTTAAAGCTGGTTTTCTGGAAAGAAGTCAGAGATCTATGTGAATAGCCTTTACAAAATATTTCCCCAGATTCATTCAGTTTATTCAAAAGCAGAATGTCATACGTGTAAAAAGATAGGAAGTGGTAGTGTGTGCATGTGTATGAGAGAGAGATAATTTTTATTCAGCAACATAATGTGACCGTACCAAAATTATAGCACTTTACAAATACAGTGTACTGTTCCAACACTTGTTAAATGGGGACCAAAAAATCAAAATGAGTAAAACACAAGATGTGCTGTGGATGACCTTTGGAAATCAAATTCCTTGTGCTCATGTCTGCGGTTTAGCGCCTCCTTGTGGTGATTGTCAGCACTGCCTTCCCCATGGTAGTGGCCTAAGCTTCTCCATGGGAAGATTCTAGGTCCTGAAACTGGGATTTCTAGGATGGCAGCAGCTATTCCATAAATCTCCTGGTTTGTGGATGCTCATTCTGGGAGTAATCTGGGGATAATTGGGTGCTCCAGGCTTACCCTCAGCCTCTTATTTCCTGTCAGGTTGTGCCCTTCCCTTCACCTATGTCCGTATCCACCTCCTTTAAGAATGTAAGAACTCCAGCTCAGTTAGGATTGGTTGCTGGACAGAAGATGGGGGCTAATCACCGATTGTGTTCTAACCCAACTTGTATTGCTGTGGGTCTCTGTATTATGGGTTTTACTGCATAATAACTAAAGAGAATAGTAGTATTGGTGACATCTTATGTGAAAAGTTTGAAATTTAAGAAACAGATTAAAAAATCCTTGAAGACTACCAAACTCCAACATGGAAATTCTTTCAATGTTGTTTTTCTTTCAGAATGGAACCATCCAGTGTGAAACTCTGATCTGCCCAATTCCTGACTGCCCACTTAAGTCGGCTCTTGCGTATGTGGATGGCAAATGCTGTAAGGAATGCAAATGTGAGCATAGCTTTTATGATGAATATTTTCTTTGGCAACAACAATAAAGCTTTGTATTTATAAATATTCACTCATCATTGGTTTAATCTGGCAAAGCTAAGTAGCTTTCAGAAGTGATGGAAATAAGAAGAATGCTTTATCTTTAGTTTATCAGTTCTTTTCCATTTTAAAATGCTAGTCTTCTATCCTGGAAGGACAAGTTTTTCCTGGAGCAATCTATTCTGTATCGTGATGGTAGTAGGAAAGATGTGTAAGAAGCTTACTGGAAGGCATTTCCCAAGGAGGTCTAGGAGGGTCCATACTCAACCACAACAACCAAGGACAACCACGATACAAGTGACCTTTGACAGCAAATGATATACTGCTATGTTAGCCAAAAACATAGAAGTTCAAATTATCATAGGATCATCCAGTGTGGACAGGAGTCATAGCCTTAATTCAGAAAAAAGGCTCATACCACTGTTTGAGGAAGCTTTTCTGCCTTTTAGCAGTTATTGTATGCAGTTCGCTTCTGATGTCAAGAAATGCTCTTTGAGTCATCTGTTATTCTTTCAAAAACAGAAGTCATTTCATCTATGTTCCTTATACTTTAAAAGACCTCACTTAAATCCTTGTTAAAAGGATCATTTAAAATATTAGCTATTTTTGTACAAAGGAGTAGTAATGTAGATGAACACTAAGTTGTTATAAAGCTTGTAGAATATATAAAGCTGTCTAAAGTGTGAGTGTATTTATGTGAATACACTCACAAAAGGGCAGAAGAGGGAGGTTGGGAGAAAGACTGGGGCAGGCGGTCAGGGGGCGGTGAATCAATAGCTGCTTTTACAAGGGTTTTCATATTTACCTAACTTCTTCACCATTGCCATATCCTACTCTTGCCTCACGGTGTGCAATGGGCTACTGCTGGTGAGAGTGACAAGTTATCAGAAAAAAATCAGGAAGTCGCTTTGTAGTCCATTGATTTAATTCTCTCAGGAGCTCACTTATATTTAATTTTATTAAGCTTTACATTGAACCCAGTCCATTTCAGCAAAGTGTATTTAGTCTAGTCAAGTAGATTTGGCAGAACCAGGAAGGATTGAATACAATTGTTTTTACACATGTCACTAGCTAATTTACTTAGTAAGAAGTAATGTGAATTTTTCCTTGGAGTTCTCTTAATAAGTAAAAGCTTATGGTGATGTTCTGTAGTTTTCTTTGCAGGTGGTTAGAGGTAGGAAGAAGAAGGATTTTATGTAGGGCTTTATATTTATAATACCACAATAGTAGGAATCATACATTTTGCTTTAAATGCTTTTATCCTTCTTTTCACTCATAATTCTATCTTGTTACTTGTGAATATGACAGATTTGCATTAAGGGATGGCAGTTTTATTTGATACAGGCTGATTGAAATAATGGACCATTGTGATGGATGCATTAGTCAGAAGTGGTGAATTTCAATTCTGATTTTGCCATTTGTCTCTGTTTCCAACAGTAAGCCACCTACTAAATCAGACTAATGTTTGAATTCTACCCAACATGCACGCAGTTAGACTTAATGAAATGGTAAAATATTTTGAGATTGATTCATGCAGAGCGTTTCTGGCAGATTTTGGTGTTTTTTTTTTTAAAGATGACCGGTAAGGGGATCTTAACCCTTGACTTGGTGTTGTCAGCACCACGCTCAGCCAGTGAGCGAACCGGCCATCCCTATGTGGGATCCGAACCCGGGGCCTTGGTGTTATCAGCACCGCACTCTACCGAGTGAGCCACGGGCCGGCCCAGATTTTGGTGTTAATGATTGAAAATCAACTGTGTTTACCTCATATATAAAAATAGTGAAAGCTGGAAGTAAGTAATCAGTGAGCAGACCACAATATCACTGAAAAAAAGAGCCAGAATAGTTCGTTTGAGTCTCTCATTTTATATGGCCAAGAAATAATAAGGATGAAATGGACTTTGTCTTTCTGGCCATATGCAATGATAGATAAGTGCCATGGAATATAGAGGGTTTATGCCTATGTTTGTTATTTCAATGATTTGAACTTCTGGTTTTAATGAATTCAACATTTTACTAGAGCTAGCAAGACATTTTAGTAAACACCCTTTCTTCCATCCTTCTACTTTCAACTGACCTATGTCATTGTATTTGATGGAGTTTGAATGTGCTGTCCCCTCCAAAACTCATGTGGAAATTTGATCTCCAATGTGGCAGTGTTGGAAACTGATTGAGTCATGGGGGCGGATCCCTCATGAATGGATTAATGCTCTCCCTGGAGGAGGGGTGATTAATGAGTGAGTTCTCGCTCTATTAGTTCCTGCAAGAGCTCTTTGCTTAAGAAGACCCTGGCACCTCCTCTCTCTTGCTTCCTCTCACCATGTGATCTGCTTGTACCCGCTGGCAGCTTGTCATTTTCCACCATGAGTAGAAGCAGCCTGAGGCCCGTGCCAGGTGCAGCTGTTCCAGAATCGTAAGCCAAATAAACCTCTTTTCCTTATAAATTACCCAGTCTCAGGTATTACTGTTATTAGCAACACAAAACCGACTAAAACACACCCGTAGATTTGTTGTTTTCCTAAGGGAAATAAGCGTTTAGTTTATATAGTAAATACTCTTAGTTATTATTTGGGAATGAGTCTCCACAAAGCACAATTTTAAAACAAGTCACTATCAGTATTTAGAAAATGTGCTTCTGAAAAGTTTCGTATAAGACAAATAACACTTAAATTTAATAATCATCCCCTAACTGACTTGTATAGATAGTGCAGATTTTCATACATGCTTAAAGTGGGAGAAACCAATGGTTACATGTATTCATAAGGTCTTTTTCCTGTGTGTGTGTGTGTGTGTGTGTGTATCTTACTGTTACATATGAGGAGAAACAGTCTCATTTTCCTATGTTAATTTCCCCAGTAGTATCACTGTTATAATTTATGAGAACTTAAATTTTAGTGGAGTAGAAGTTAATTTTTATGTTTTTACTCTTTTAAACACAGACGTAAGCCCTCCTCCTAGATCCTGCGCTTATTCTATCTTTGCAACTCTTCTGCCGAATTGCCTTTTTATAATATATTCTTCAGTGAAAACTGCTTAAAGAGATTAATAATTTATTGTTCCTAAAGCCCTTGGAAAGTAAACACATAACCTAACTGGTGAACGTTACTCTGCCAAGATTGAAGTAAACAAAAAAAGTGTGCATGTGTCCAGTCACTTTTTGGTGGTCTTCATGTAATTCTTTCAGCTTGCTTCATCCGAGTTGTTTACACAACTCTGAGCAGTCCTATTTTGCAGCCTCCTTTTTACTTTTGCTCAGTAACTTCAGTTCCAGTCCTTTATCTGAATATAAATACTGATGAAAAACAAGAAGGCTGTTGTTCTGGGAAAGAATTCGGAGAGAACCAAGCCTGTCCCTTTTCTTTATTAGAATCTACATACACAAAGTATTGAGAGGAAGGGCTTCACTTTTCCTGCCTCTACCACTGAGCTACTATGGTCGAGTTAAACAGAGAGGATAAAACCCAATACCAAGTCATTAAGGTGATAGTAATTGCAACTGCAATGAAGTCATCTCATTTCTATAGGTTAGAAGGCACATACTTTGTTTCTCATTTGATCTTTAACAACTCTGAATAGGCATTGCCTCCATCTTCCCAATAAGAGGGATTTATGACTTGTCCTAGAACACACAATTAGAGGTCCCAGAGAAGTGCCATCTGAAAGTGCTATGCTTTGCCAGCCTGCTTCCTTCTTTAAAACCAGCCGTTACAATTAATCTATGTGATCCACTTTTAATGACCAGTAGCTAAGCTCCCCAAAGGCATTTTGGAATCCCAGCTGAGTCGAGGCAGAATGGTGAAGTAAGCGGAGTTGGCCTTTGTCACTCCTCTTCTGCCCTTTCAGCCACTGTATCCATGTCTTTTGTCCCAGTCTCAACTCAAATTCATGATAGCTCTAGAAAATATAAAGTACTAATATTCCGAGTGACTTTAACTCTGAAATGACAACATAATTAGATCACATAAAATCTCAACCCAGTTAAAAAAAATAAAAAGAATTATCAGAAAATAATTGGTTAAAATTCTGGGAAATAGAAAGTTACTGAAAGGCACTGAAATGAGAAAATATTTTTAAGTATTCTGTGCCTGCATTTATTTTATTTCAGTGTATCATAGATTCAGGCTCGTACACAGAGCTCTGTTTCACAGAAAATAGGGAATCTGGATCAAATCCAAATTGATGTTATAATGTATTTTTCAGAAGAGGCTATGTTTTTTAAAAAAGAAGGCATATTTCTCCTTCATTGCTAGAGAGATATCAAATACAGGAAATGTGAATGAGACTACCAGGATTGGTTGGCACTTGCCCAGTAGCAATAGTTAGTTCCAGTGGTGTTTTCTCAAAGAGGCCAGATTTACATGAATAAATTAAAATCGTTATTTTTTTTGATTGAACAAAATCAGAGTTTCAACACATGATGTAAATTATGTTTTAATATGCTCTATGCTGATTGGACATCATATTGTTTTAAACTTAATTTAAAAAGCCCTCTTGGTTTAGATAAAATGGACTTATTATAATGTCTTTGCACTTTGGGTAGTTAGTTAAGTCTGTGGGTTACAAGTCAGATTTTCTGGGTTTGAATTCTAGTGTCACTACTTATTAGCTGTGCAACTTTGGCCAAGGCATTATCCTCTCAGAGCCTCAGTTCTCTCATCTGTAAAAAGGAGATAACAACTATATCTACTTCAGAGGATTTGAGTGAGGATTTAATAAGTAATAGATGTGAAGTGCTTAGAAAAATGTTAGTTATTATTGTTTTGTTAAAAGAATCTTTTGTGTTTTTGTTGATAAAAATACAAAGTAATGAAAGGATCTTATTGGGTCATACTGTTAAAGCTACACATGAGCTCGAGAGATCTTTGAAACAGCAATTTGCTTTTGTGGAGGTAAAGTTTCATTATCCCCATTTTATGGAGATATAATGAAGCCAGGGAGTACAAGTGTCTTAACTAAGATCA